TTCGGTTCCCTTGGTCTCGTGGATGGTGACGCTGACCGAATTTGAGCACTGATTCTAGAGTGACTAAGTGAAAATATATTTCTCGAACTCCGACTTTACTCTGACTTTGACTCTGACTTTGACTCTGGCTTTTACTCTAATTCTGACTTTTACTCTGACTTTAACTCTGGCTTTTACTCTAATTCTGACTTTTACTCTGACGCTGCGTCTCGCGATGTCGTGATTTAAATAGTCGTTTTTTAGGTGGTGGTTCCATAGTAGGATGTGTCAAATTGGGAAATTGAGGAATCAGTTTCACAGGATTTTGGTATGATAACAGGCCTTGACTGGTCATTGGGAAATTTCCCTCAAGTTAGCTCCGCCTGCTGTGTCAGTTTGATTCGCTCTTATTCTTATTGGTGATAAGGTATCACCTCCCTAAAGGTTTCAGACTCACGATCGCCTATTAGAGAGTTTCGTTTCTGGGGAGGGATGGGTTATAAGTTACCTATTTCCCTTTTTATCAATATCTGCTTAAGGGAAAAGGTAATCTACTTTTTATCAACATTCCTGGATTTAGTTAATCTTGTTCCTTGGGAAGCAAGAAACGTGAATTATTATTTTGTTGATTTTCCCATCATCGGAAAGTGTCATTATTAGATTTATGACCCTTTCTTAAGCCTATGCGCAAGACTATTATCGTTAGACGTGCGTGATATTGGCGTGGGATGATTCAACATCTTACCTTCCCTCGAGCATCGCGTTCGCGATATGACTCTTATCAAGGATGTTCGGTTCTGGATCCGGCTTAGCACCTTGGTGCTAACGGCGCGGTTTGAAAATGATTATTCGGTTTCTTTTTCCACGATATTCGAGAGGAGATTAAAGGCTTGGTTATCGCGGGTTACTAAATTCTGAATAAACATATTTTTCTGCTAGGAAAGTTTCTTCGGATTTATGTTATCAATTGAATTTGTTCGTATCTTATTTTATTGATCGAACGATCGTAAAACGAAGAAATCGTGGAGTCCGCTGGACGTAACATGCCAAAAGCGAATATTTGACATTTATCGATTATATTATTGGAATATCTACAAAATAAACATTATGCATTTTAGCAAATAAAATTGAAAATTATTTTCAAAACTTTTGCAGTTGGTGTTAATATGTGCACAAGTATAAGTAGCTTATAAAATATTGAAAAGAATACACTGTTAAAGTCATATATACATATATATGTGTATATATAATATTATATTATAAATTACATCCAATTTGAGTTTTCAATAATTTCTATAGATCTCCACTGATTTTTTTCAATATGCCATTAATTTAACTAAAACAGTGGAGTTAAGTGATTCGATTCAAGAAGATATATTAAATTGGTCTTAAATTTAATAATTAATATGATCGCTATTTGTTTTGAAACTGAGAAATGAATTGATTATAACATGCATTGAAGTTGAAAATAGCAAAACGTTATTTAACTTAAGAGATTACATTCTTTAATATCTAACAATGTAACACAATTGATGTTTTATAATAACTTAATTTTTGCATGGACATTTGATAGAATTTATGCGAGTGTCCGAACTTTCATTAATGATAGTGTATATCTAACGCTTGTTCAATATTTTATATCAGATTTTACAATTTATTTTGCAAATAAAACAAAGAGAGGTAAAATTTGGCATGGAACCTTTTTACCTTGGATATAATTTCGTTTGCCAGGTATATCATATATTGAATAAAAGTGTAAGCATATAAAACACATATAATAAAACAAATATATTTACATTCAATCCTATAAATTACATAAATAACTAACAATAAGTGGCAAAATAATATTGGAATCATTTCTTAATTAACTGCATTTGTGTATTTTTCATTGTTATTTTATATATTCTAAATCTTCTTTTATATTAATTGTTTTCAATTTAACGCAAATATTTACATTAAGTATGATGAAAGTTTTTTTTTTTCAGTTTTACAGTACAGTTTTGGTCATTATGGTAACTTTATTACAGATGTTTGAAACTACATTCTACGACGAAGAATTATAGTTAGCCTGGTGGGCAAACATGTCTGATATCCGTGTTTCTCGTGTTTATGTGGAATCACTGCGTCACGAAGACGTAGTCGAGGAAATGGGTTTCTCTTAATTTGACGAATTTATTTGATTCGCCTCGTGCGGGCGACCGAGATTATATAAAAAAAAATACTTGATGATTCATATGAGACCTGATAATGACCTTTATTGGATCCTGATGAAAATAAAAATCGAAGCGTAAGTCGAATGTAGTACGTGAAACGTAAACGAAGCTTCTAGGAGGCGAAAATTGAAACAACGGAACGTAGTAGAAGCATAAACGCCTCTTTTACGTTTCGTTGTTTCAATTTTCGCCTCCTAGAAGCTTCGTTTACGTTTCACGTACTACATTCGACTTACGCTTCGATTTTTATTTTCACCAGAGCACGATTGCATGTGCGAACGATAGTGCTTGAGCCGCTAGTGCGCCTATTCTATAACTCGTTACTCTCATAACGAGTTAAGCAATGGGTACACAGATGCGAAAATGAGATCGATACCTGAATAATATTTATCAAAATCAAGGCTATAGGAGATAATCCCCTTATTTTCATTTTTGCACAAAAAATTCTTTCGTAAAAATTAATAAAAAATGAAGATAAGAGGAACAACTTTTAATGTCCTTAATGTTGACAATTTAATTTTCTAGGTCATGATTCTGAACAACGTTCAAGAGGTTTTAGCCATCGCGCGTCGGTTAAACAACTTGGGTGATGGTATAATTTCCGGTGACGCGTAATGACAATTCTGCGTAAATCTCAAGCTTCATAACTCTTAATGAAAGTACTTAATGAAAAATAACTTTATTATAGTGTTTTGGAAAGCTCTTGACATCAGCTACCGATTTCATCACAACCTAATTTTCGCGGCGCCATTCAAGGTCAAAAGGGGGGGATGTCTGATCGGTAAATACATCTTTTTAAACCCTACAACTTTTGTCTGAAACATTTTTCTCAAAAATGCTTTGATTTACTCGATCGTTTTTGAACTTTTGATACACCCTATATAATTACGTGTAAACAATTTCTTTTACGTTTCTCCAAACTTGATTTTTTTCTAAAACAAACATTGCGAAAATTGTCCCTTTAATTATTTTTGATGTTTTCCCATTATCATTATTACTATTACACTAAAAAGTAATTAAAAAGAAAAAGAAGGATAGATGAACATATTTCATATATAATTATACATGTTTATGAAAATTTATATTTATGTATGTTTATACATATTTATAAACATTCATGTATGAAAAATTGTTTTACCTCGGAGAGAGAGAGAGAGAGAGAGAGAGAGAGAATTTCAAGCTTTGTTTAAAGTCAAAGCAACATTGGTGCGATCGGGCCTTGTATATTATGAAGGGTGCAAACTTGATTGAGGAATAAATTGACATTTTGTTCATGTCTATACTTTATAACAATTTGAAGCTCCACAGTTGCCATAATTGATTAATAATTTGTTATTCAAACAAAATAATCAGTTATTTTTTTCGTCTTGAAGATCGAAAGGTGTAACCGACAAGATTATCTGCATTTCGATTGTATGATAGTCGAAAAGGGCAATCGATTTGATGCGATATTTAGACTAAATAAAATTAAACTTTATTATTAATAACTTTTTAATGAACAATGATCGGTGGCTAAAACTTTTTGAAGATTTCTCAGGAGAGTGTCTTTGTCAACACATGTCAAGATCATCGGAAGTGCCTTCTTTAAAGTAAACACAACCGAAAATTTTTATAGTTTTCTATACATAATTTGGCAATTATATAACCAAGGCAAATATTGTTAGGTTATTTCTATTACATTTATTACAATGTTATTTTTTAAATTAGAAAATATGAAATAAAAAATAGTTATATTTTGAATTTTCTTTCAGCTTATCCATATCTTATTCACAATAATAAAACCATTTCAATAAAATTTTACATCTTTTTTTAACGTTTTTTCTTATCAACGTCGATGATTATATATGATTCTTTCCCTTGTTAGTAAATATTATTTGTGCACTAACAACCGCAGAGATTTTCATAACAATTTTTCTTTGTTGAATTTATGCTTGGAACTGCAAATAATATTTATTTTGTTTTGTTTAATTTATTTAATGTTTGCAATCACATATACATTTTTATGTATAGGTTTTTCTTGCGGCATGGATATTGATATCCCCTTCGTCCATGTGGTTTTCAATAAAGTTCGCGAACCACTCGAAATTTGATCAATATAGAAAGTTTCTATATTGATATAAATTGATATAAATTACTCGCTGAAAATACGGCATAACAAACTCAAAATCCGAGGTTGATACAAAAATTCAAAGTTTTACTAAAGAAAGATGGGAGGTTTTAATCTAAACAATTTTCATAACTCTTTTATTTCAATTATTTATTTCCATCCCTCGAAAGTTTTTTGAGAGCAGCCCGCCATGTTCTTTTTCCGAGTCATTAACAAATTGGTACTCTGGAATTACAATTATTTTTCATCGTACAGGCTAGTATAAATTTCAAATCAAATCTCAATAAACGACTTTTATATTTTGTGCACTAAGAATAAAACATACATATCGACT